AGAAGCCGGCGACTGATCTGCCTCGCCAGAGAAGAGCGCAATGATGGTGCCAACTTGGGCCAGTGAAGCGACGTCCTCCACAACTAGATTGAGGAACAAGACGACAGCAACTTGTCTGTTCCCCTTTCCCCGATTCCCCAGCACTGTTCCCATCCCCCCAATTACCCAATAAAAAAAAATAAAATAAAATAAAATAAAATTCTACCCTACCCCCAACTTTTAACTAATTTAACTGGATTCAATATTTCTGATAGTTACTCCATAACTCTAACATAAATTTACAGTATTGTGTTTGAGTTCCTCGATTTGATGTCCTATCTACTGACTCCCCACTACGTAAAATGAAGAAATGAATACCCCCAACATCTTCTTCCATACATATTTTCAAATTCTGTCACCTACCATCTCTTTAGATTGTCAAAATTTATAATATTTACAACTCTGTAATTAAGTCTTCAGATTTATTTTTTTAAATGACAGTACATATTTCCTGACTCCCGCAAATTTACCAAAATTGCAGGGTCAATGATACCATCTTTGTTTTTGGTGTGCCGCCCATTCATTACTGTCGTGTCAAAAGGATCCCAGCGTGTCATACACATGTGCTCAGGCTGTCATCTTAAACCAAAAAATATTTACCTTCTAATTTACTTTAAAAACAAGACCGTATGAAAACGCTGGATACTTGAGAAGGTACTATAGATATTCCAGATATAATCTGTAATTTAGATGTTGTGAGTAACTCTAATCACTTGAATGTATGAAAGAGCATTCTATTTGCTGACTTCATGCACAAATACTAACTACTTTTCAATCATAAGGACTTTTAAATACCAGAAGCAGAAGGAGGCTTCCTGGCCTGTTCCCGTGGTCTCACTAATACAAAACATTTTCTCTCAAAGCAAGCAAAAAGGAAGCCACACTGCAACCAATTCTAAGAAATAATTTTTTAAAGTAACAAAACAATCTGCTTTTTAAGGGCATATGAAAAAAATCTCCCATCAAGTCCATGTGCCCATCTTCTCCTCTCAAAGCAGCTGGAATAGACGGGGAAGCAAGGACGGGTGGTGTCACAGTTTCCTGCTCTGACCTCGCCTTCACTCCTGAAGTGGAGATGAGTGGATGCCTCTGACTCACCTGCACTGCTCTTGCTTCCAGACGGAGCAGACATTTACCTCCAGAGAGAGACGAGCAGATCTAGGTTCCTGATTGGCAGTTCTGGAGTTATTGTACAGTTTATGCACATAGGAACTCTAACACATGAAATACTAATTACAATAACCTATCGAGCCTTGCCTGACCAGCAGAACAAACAGGTCCAGGAAAAACAAACAACTACACCTTTCTCTCCCAAACTTGACTTCTTGCACATCTCTGAGTTAGAGAAAATCACTTTTATAATCAATCTACTCAGTCCGTTCCCTAAATGAAACCTGATGTTACTTTCTCCAGAGTAAATCACTGAGAAGGTATAGATGGAGTCTTAGAAACTTCCAGAAGGTACCTAATCTGTTCTTCTCTTACCTTAGGTCTTAGTGACACTTACATCTGCTCTATTCTATTCTTTTAAGGTGTTAACCATTTGGGAGGGGAAAGCACAAGACCAATACAGGTGGCTTGCCGTGTGCACTTCCCATACGTGATTTCATTGAATTCTCACAACTCCCCATGAGATAAGAACTAGTATAATCCCTCTTTTATAATGAGAAAACAGGATCAAAAAAGTTAAATATGTGTAAGGTCACAGAGCCTTTAGGAAAACAACTCTAACAGTAAATTACAGGTAAATTTCAGAGCAAATTATTTTAGCATTTTTGTCAAGAACTACTAAGTCCGGTTGAAAGAAAATGGCCCTCGCTACTAAAATATTTGCCCTGGCTACAAGAAACCAGTCCACCTAACATGCTACTGCAAATATTCCACCGCAAATTCTCTTATCTAGCGAACACCAAATAAAAAGGCATAATCTCCTTTCCAAGATAAGACTAGCTCTCCTTCACAAAAGAGAAAGCTATTGTCTTTTCTAAAGAAGTTAACAGCTTTATGACATTTGCTAAATTAGCTGGACTTTTGCTATTCAACTACCTTGCCTAATTCTAGCTGTTCAGGAAGTAATTTATCTCGAGAAAATTGTAAAACACTACAGAAAATCCCTTACAGATATAATGGTTGGACAAAATAAAAATTAAGGCATTCTTTTTCAGCACCAATGTTAAAAAAGTGGTAACAGGAGAAAGACAGAAAAAAATTCAACTCCAAAGTCTTCCCACAAGACATGCAAACACTTCAGTAAAGGGGAAATGAGGCTGAAGCACACTGAGAACTCCCCCCTTAAAGATTCCAGGATGGGTAAATAACAGGCTGTTTCGTTCTCGCAGGAATCCACTACCGAGGCTGCACGTATCACATCCTCCCTGAACACCTGAACTTGACAAGCTCATCCCTTACCCATGACTTTGCACGGCTGTTTCCCTCCAGCTGGAATGTTACTTCTCTAGTCTTTGCAAGACTGGCTTCTTTTTTCCGTCACGAGTTCTCACCTTAGACTTACTTTCTTAGAAAGATCTTCTTCCCTCCTTGCCTAAAGGGCACCCCTCGGCCCTTTGTGTCATACCATCCTGTGTTATCTTCCTTATTGTAGCACAGATCACCGTCTGAACTTACCTTCCCTGTTCTTTTTTATGCTCATTATCATCACAATTATGTCAGCTACAAGAGGCTAGAGGCCTTGCCTTTCTCACTTATTCTGTCCTCAATTCCTAGCCCAGAGTAGGCACATGACACATGTTAAAATGACTGCATGAGGCTAATGATAGGTACTGTATTGCATAAATATGAAAGAATGGGGTGAAAATGAAAAGATTCCATTTACTGCACTCCAAACCCTTTCCTTTAAGCTCAGTGAGAATAAGAAATGATCGTTTATGACCCATGACAATAAAAACCAACTGAATCGTATTTCTTGTGGAACATGTTACCCCCCAGGCGCTGTGATGTCCAAACATCCTGCTTCGGTAACAGGCCAAATCAGTTACAAATGGACTGGAATATTTATAGAGCAAACAACTTCTACTATCCAGAGCATAAAGGAATCGACGGCCACGCCCAAGAAATTCCCACCTACTTCCTCATTTATTTCAGACCCACTTCCAGCCCAGCGTCCTAGAGGACTGAGAAACCCAGGCGTGAGCACCTGTTATTTTACAGCAAAGCATCCAACGGTAAAAAAGTGAAGGAACTTTCAAGTCAAAGCGTTTCATCTCTCAAGTTTGAGGGCAAAAAAGAAAAAATAGTTTAATAGGTCTCTACACCTAATCTGCCATCGGACACACTTCCAAACCCAGTAAAAAGAATGCGTCCACCATCAAAAGTAACCCTCATCCCTAATGTAATACTCCTCCTAAACACTGGCCCTCGCAACTAGAAAAAGGTTGCCAAACATCCAACGATTCATAAAACACACTTACTTCTCGCTGTCATCACTAATTAAATGCAATCACACAAGCAGAAATACGCACAATATCCCAACGGTAATTAGGATTAAAAGCGCTGACACTAAACCCGAAAACCAGCCTTCCCTAATAACGCACTGACCCAGCTTTCAAAGAAAATGCGTCTTCATTGCTCTGCAACAAACAGGTCAAACAAACCGAGTCTTCCATAACCTGAACGTGATCCAGCGCCCACGGCTCAGTGTGCGATGAATGAAACTGTCGCCCAAGACCAAGTCTGGGTCTCCCCAAGAGGCCCCGCGGAAAGGGGCGCTGGGGTCTTCACGAAGGTGATAAGGGATACCAAGAGGAGGCTGTCCTGGCGCAAAAAGCAGCTCGGGCTCAGGGCCCCCCTTCTGGGACATGGTGGGCAGCACGTTTATGCCTCGGCTGACACCAGGGCCACCCCGGGCAGGGCGCCGAGGACAAGGCTCCCAGCCAACCGTCCCACGCCGCAGGGGAAGGGTAGCACCGGCGATCGCCGGCAGCGTGAGGTCTGACAGCCCGGGGAGCTGAGGGGCCTCTCCCACCGGAGCCGCCACGGTGACTGGGGACGGGTGAAGAGACCCTGGGCCGGGGTCTGCAAGGCCAAGGTCTGCCCGCGCGCCCCAGGAACAGCGCAGCCCCGCCTCTCCGCCGCCTCACCTCGGCCGGCACCGGCAGGTTCTCGGCCGCCGCCTTCAGCTCCAGCACCGAGTCCATCTGCCTGTCGGTCAGAGGCGCCGTGGTGTCGGGTCCCCGATCCCAGAGAGTCAGCTTCTCCCGAGCGTCCCGCTCCGCCGCCGCCTCCGGCAGCAGCAGTGCCGCCTCCGCCATCGCCGCCGCCCCCGCGGCCCTCAGCAGCAGCGGGGTAGTGGCGACCCCGACAGACAGGCCCGGTCCACTTCCGGGAGGGCCGGAGTTTCCAGCAAGGCACCGGCGGCGGGGCGGGGCGGGCCGGAATAACCCGACCCCGGAAGCGCTTCTGCAACTGTGTGGGCGGGACTGAGGTCAGGATAGACGTGGCTTTAAACGAGGTACAAGCATTTCCGGTTGCGCTGTAAACTGAGAGGGCGAGGACTATAGACCCTGACGGAAATAGAAATGCCCCTACCGGAAGTCTCTTTCTCAACATCAATAACTTTATTGTTCAGTGTTGCTCACGATGATTGTGTTAAGTGACCCTGCCGGCAGGGGCCTTCGTGAGCCCCGAATCTACTTACTGCCTCTGCTCACAGCGGGGTAGCCTGGGTGGAGTATGTGGACTGGGAGATTTTCATGTTGACATGTTGATAGTTTGTCGGCTAATTGGGTCAAAACCATGAGTACAAACTTTTCCAACATCCAGTAACTCCACTGTTAGAAAACTAGGTAATGAAAACATAAAAAATTCAAAGATTTATGTGTTTCAGACATCACGAATAACTGGAAACAACCTAAATGTTCAACAGTGAATAATTCGATCGATAATTCATGGCACAGACATGAAATTGGAATACCATTCTGCCGTTTAAATCATGTTGTAGACTTGAGTAACAAAAGAAAACAAATAATGATAGTATTGCGTCATAACTTATAAATATTCGTGAGCCCATACTGATATAAATGAATGAATCAATAACGGGGCGAGGGCCGGCCGAGTGGCGCGTTGGTTAAGAACTGGCTTGGGATGCCAGAGGTCCCCGGTTCGGATCCCACATATGAGGGCCAGTGACACTGCCCTCCACAGCTAAGATGCTGAACAACAGCTCAGCCTGGAGCTGGGCTGCCGTGAGTCGCCGGCGACGGCGTAGGCTGCAGCCCCTGTGGCAGTGGGTTGCCATGGGCTACCGTGTGTAGCCAGCAGCCAGCATGAGCAGCCAGCAGCCGCAGTGAGCGGCCGTCCAGAAGCCGGTGACTGATCGGCCTCACCCGGGAAGAGCGCAATGATGGTGCCAACTTGGGCCAGTGAAGCAAAGTCCCCCACAACTAGACTGAAGAACAAAAAAACGACAGCAACTTGTCTGTTCCCCTTCCCCCAATTTCCCAGCACTGTTCCCATCCCCCCATTCCCCAACTTAAAAAAAAAAAAACCTTTAAAAAATATATAAATAAATAAATAAATAAACGGGGGCAAAGGGACAACTCTACAGAAAAATTCCAATCAATAAATGTTTAAAGAATGAAGGAAATAGTAATCGTAGCAGCCAAGATCTAAGGAAGGATGTAAAAATTAGTGGGTGAAAGTGAAGAGAAACAGAATTTGCATTGTATCAAATGATCTCCCCAAGATATGTATGGATAGCAACTTTACAGTGGAAAACCTGGCAGACATCACCTTAACCAACTGATCCAAGTCATCATCGTGAAACTCCTAACATGACAGATGGAGGACACAATATCACTTCTGTGGTATTCTTGCCAAAAATGCAAAACCACATTCTAGCCATGAGAAAACATCAGACGAACTCAAATTAAGGGATGTCCCTCAAAACAACTCACCAGTATTCTTCAAAAGTGTCAAGGTCATAAAAGACAAGGAAAGCCCAAGGAACTGTTTACTATTGGAGGAGATTAGAGAGACATGACAACTAGATGCAGTGTTGGAACACGGATTGGATCCTGGGCTAGAAAAGGGAAAACTATAGAATAAAATACAGATATTTGAATAAGGTCTGTAGTTTAGATAATGGTATTATACCAGTGTCAGAGGATGGACATACCTGAACTCAGCACTAATTTTGCAACTTTTCTGAAGTCTAAAATTATCCCAAAGTCAAGAAATAAAATTCTCATGTTGTAGGAACTATTTCTCTCTTTGGGAAAATGGTTGTGATATAATTAAGACGAATGGTACAGTGTATGATCCTATTGACCAAAAGAAACACACCTAAAATATTTACAGATGGTTGGGATTACTAATACATAATTTTCTTCTTCATTTCTTCTTCTTCTCTTCCTCCTCCTTTCTTTTCCTTCTCCTTTTACAATTAACTTTGCATTTCAGAGTAAGGTTTTTGTTTTAACTACTCAACCCAGCTTCAGAGATTTGTTTCCCCATCACATCAATCCACCAGTATTTCCTAAAGAAAGTCATCTTTTGGATATGTAGATCTAAGTACCTAAAGCATACTTTCTCTTCTTCAGGATAGCTAGATCTCTGGTTCCAAAAATCTCAGAAATAAAGTTAATCCTGTTGAATTTTGTGATGATAATTCTTCACCAAACATCATCCTTCAAGGGCCAAATACAAGCATCTTCTCTCTCCCAAATGCATTTCTATTGCAGATTTTCCTAAATCCATGATCACTCTACTTTCTTCTAAACATTATGTTAAATTCCTTAAAATATTTTTTCCCAATTGGTGATTCATGATGCTAAAAGTTTACAATGCAGGTCATGGTACCCATGGAAAAGATTCGGGCCTAGACTGAATGTTTTAATCAGCTACTGTGAGGTCAAATGAAGAAAGAGGAAGGTAGATATGCAACACAATAATGCCTGAATTATTCTTGAATTGAGGAATTGAGGGAGCTAAGGGAAGATGGCTGTGCCTGGTCACTGGCTCTGTAAGGGTGAGGGAGAGACAAGAGCAATGAAACAGAGTAACAGCAGTTTTTATGGGGTGTTTTCATTTTACAGTACACTAGCATAGATATATATATATATATATATATATATTTAAACAATGCAGCGGTTGCTCGCAATATAATAGAAAGTGTGGTATACAATATACTGAATTCTGCTTCAGACTCTAGTGCTCTTTCCTGTATGGCCAAATATTATCTGCCCCTCCCCAAAGAAGTACAAATTTCCTGTAGACAATATAATGGATCCACTTTTATACTCTGTATTCCAAGTCAAATTTCGTCCTGTTTCCAACTGGTGATTAGCTGATTCCCAGAAGCACTAGATGACATGACAAATACAACTGCAGTTTTAATTTTCTACTATAATTCTTACAATATATTTATTTGATTCAAGTTTTGGTAATTGTTCCCATAAAATAATTCAAATTGATATAGCAAACACTCATAATGCATATATCTGAACATGTAAGATACACATATATATCCATATCGAGAGAGAGAGGGAGAGAGAGAGAAAGAGAGAGAACAGGAAGATGGAATTACATAGGCTATCTTGGAAAAAGGGCAAAGGTGAGGTCAGAGTTGCATCATTCATAAATGATCAAGGTCCCCCTATTACAATAGATGCTATTTTTTTGGTAAGGTGTTATTTAGATTTCACATTTGACCTCTAGATTGCAACCCTGTAAGGCAAGGTAGAGGTTGTTCTCTTTCATTTAGATATAAGTAAATGAAACATGGGAAGACAAGGTGAGTTGTCAAAGACATTTAGGACAATGAAGAAAAAAGGCCACTATGCTGTTTCTAGAGGGAAATTTGCCAACACTATCAAAACAGAGGCTGGAGAAATAAAAAGAAAAAACCGCACTATAATCCAGCAATTCCATCTCTGAAAATCTATCCTAGAGAAATTCTTGACTATGCAAAAAACATACATGTATAGGATAGTCTGTAATGGAGAAAAATGGACACAACCTAAATATTTTTCAATAGGGAAGTTGTTCTGTTCCTGTTATCTATTGCTACCTAACAAACTAACCCAAGTAGTTTAGATTTTAATCCCTCTGGAATTCTCCAGGCTGATCTCGCAAAGTCTCTGAGACGTGGTAACAGCTGTACCTCTGCTTGTGGGCATCTTCCAGAAATACTCTGAGCACATTCCAAGAACAAGCTCTTCAACTGCTTTCCAACCAGCTTTTGTGCCACACCCCAGAGGGACCTGATCCAGTCTCAACAGCAACAGGGCCTATTTCAACCTGGTTCTCAAGTGGGGTGAGGCTCCAGGGAAGTTGACTGAACTGAGAAGCCCTGAATCTGATGACCATCCCCAACCCCTTCCCCATCCCCCATAAAGAACCATTGCCATAAGAGTACGCCATGAACATCCAATGTGTGTGCCGTGCTTCGGAACCCACAGCAGTTATGAAGACCTCTTCTGGCTCCTTCTTGGGGTCAGGGCAGCTAGAAGCAGCTTCGTGGTGATTTTGACGGCCTGTGGCTTTATTTTTATAGTACCAATGGCACAAACCAGTGCCTGGCCGTGCTCCCAAAAGATGGCTCTGACCTTATAAGAATACAATCTCAAGCTTAAGATCACATAATCAAACTCTTTCATTCTACAGATGAGCAAATTGAGGCGTACAGAGGTGAGGTGACCCGCCTGAAGTCCTATGGGCAGTTAGTGTCAAAGCCACGGCTGGAACTTAGATAACCTGATTTCTGTGGCTGAGGCTCTGTGTACAATCCCAGAATTTCTCCAAGTGCAGTGATATACAAAGCCCTTTAAAAGAATTGCAGATCCCCAGTGTTGACGTAAATAATTGTATTATGTTGCTTAAGTATGAACAAAAAGAGAAGCTGACGTAAGCTTTGTATGTCTATATCAACATAGACTTATCAGTTATGTACCAATAAAAGTATAAAACCAGTAACACTCAATTTAACAATGTTAATGAGATGGATGATATTATTTTGCTGGAAAACTACGTTGCTGCCGACAACATGAAGATGGTGCCAACTTTAGCTTGGTTCACTGTGCTTATGTTACACCAGCGACATGCTCAAGTCCCCTGCCATTTGAGTGACCAGGAAGCCTTCTCTCAGGCTGGATCCCGAGTATCATTTTGCTTTTAATTGGCTTGTACACATCATTTGCAAAGTCAATTAATCCCTGTTCTTTTTTGTAGCTTAATATTCCATATCCACAAAGAGGGGGGAAGCCGAGATCACAGGGTAATCCTAAGCTGTACAGCAGTCATGTTGATGATGCAGGATATGTATGCATGTTTTTTAAAGTCTATGAAATGGAAACACACATTTAAAAAATGGGTTTGAGAAATGCTGCACCACACCCTACGGCGTGCTGCCCTCAAGCACAGACGGGTGAAATTTCCCTGTCATCTGCTTCCAGGGTCT